CAGGGTTGATTATTCATACTACCATTTAAATACATGGATTTCATATTTCAAATCCAAATCCCCGCACCCAAACACTACCTTATTAATTATATTTTCTCATTCTTTGATCTTATATATTCTATATATAAAAATTTTATAACATGATTATCCATTTCTTTAATTAAATTTATTAAAAGCTCCCCTCACCTCCTTCTCCCAAAAAAAACCCAACCACAACCACCTTGTGTGCCCAAGACTTGCTTTTCTCGTGTTATTGAATTAAATTCATCAGATTTGCTTCTGATTAAAATTTCCACCGTAACATTAGTGAATAGTATCCTTTGTTTTGATTTTAAAAACTGCACAGGCTTGGAGGGTCTTCTTTAACTAGAATTTCTCTAAATAATTGCTCTGTTGATCAATTAATTTCTCAACAAACTCCAGAGTGCTTTTGCTAGCCCCCACTAATTAATATTATTATTATTTAATAATGTATTGTTTTAAAAAATCTCTGAACCAAATCAGCTGGCCACTTGTTCATTTAATTATATGCCCCCTGTTTATTTATTCCACCACAGATTTAACAACCTCCACTTTGATATTTTTTGAACTCACTATGTTGAGTATTGGGAGTCTATATAGGCATTTTTTAATTGTTAGTTGCGTGCAATGAATTTTTTTAAAGTTCACACGAGATAATGTTAATTTTGTGCCACGAAAGACTTCCAGTCATGGAAAAATATAAAAAAATATGCCCGTTGACGTTGACTGGGACAAAGGTTGTTGTAGGTTGGACGGATAAATATAAATTAGGAGGACTTGTGGTGCGCGGCAATGACCTAGTGAGGGTAATATTGCCCGTTTACTATTAGGGCAATATTACCATGATTTATTACTCAAAAGTGACATTATTATGATAAAGAGTTTAGAAAACTGGGTACTTTTATCAAATTAGTTTAAGGGAAGAAACAGACATTAACCCTATTTAAAAACCAAAGTCCAAGATGGGGATAAAATATAAAAAAACTGGGGCAGAATTAACACCTCAATGGTAAATTAGAGAGGCCAAGCACGTATTAACTATGCCGGATGTTACAATTAATACTTTGAAGGGGTTTCTCATTCAGTGTACGTAGTTTGTCTTCCCATGGTAGTAGGACATTGTGCCATACGCATTTACACTAAAATAGTTGTCATATATATTGTGATGTTAAATTGTCGATAAATCATGTAATATTTTTTTAATTGTATTGTGAGAACTTTGAATGTAATTCAATGATCTCTCGTATAATATATAGTAAATAGTATGGATTTGTTTCCCCAAATTATACTAATATTTTGGGTGGTACGTATGACAGGGGGCAAATATTTTACCGCAAAGTGTACAGTTTTGAGGCTTCCATATAAAAATTAGAGAAGCCCCGTAATCAACGACAACCATGCTTCGCAAAAAAGTGTCAGGTAATTGGCAGCTAAATTGCAAGTTGAATAATTAATTAAGCTTTTTTTTTTAAAAAAAAAAATTGTCTTGATCATGCAGGCGGCGTGCCATCTTCTATTTTTTAACCCACAGCTTCCAGTGGCAGCATCGCGCGCTTTCATTGCGTACATCACAATAATTACTGATCATAGCCATCTATGGTTTCAGGGAATTAATCACCAAGAAAGTATATACTATCTTTGTGGCCAAGAAAGTGAAATAATTATATTTAAACCATTAATGACTCAATCATGTCCCTAGTTTATTAATTTCTTATTATTTCACCAACTGATTATGCATATAAATTATGAGTATAAGCACTAAGCCTTTATTGAAATCATACGACTGTTTATACTTTGCAACGTTAATATTGAGATTTGAGAGTCCAGATAGGCATTTTTTTTTTTATTTTGATAATGCTGATGATCGTTAATTATCGGCATATTGGACTTATTAAATATGACCGTTCAATTGCTTTATTTATTATGTGTTTTCATCTATATACGTCATTTGAGGCACTTACAACAAGACACCGTCATGTTCAGTTTAATTGTTAGCTGCGTGCAATGATTTTTTTTTTTTAAAGTTCATCATGATAATGTCAATTATATGCCAGAAAAAGCTTCTATTTATGAAAAAATATGTAAAAAATATAATGTTGACATTGACCGAGACAAAGGTTGTTTATAGCTTGAGGGGTAATATAAACTAGGCGATAGTGATGCCGTTGAGGGTTAAGAAGAACTGGCGAATCGGAAGATGGCGGAGAAGCAAACATGCTTGCGAGAAGTACGAAGGTGAGAAGACGATGATGAAGATGGGACGAATGTGAATATGAATTGAAGGACAATTAGACTGAACATATTTCTTATCAAGAGAGGAAAAAAAAACAAATGTTTATTGTTTTATTTATTATTTCAAAAAAATGAATAAAAATCCCCTCCAAATTATACAAATGACAATATAGTCCCTCAAAATGTGATAATTCCAATGAAGTCTCTAGAGACCTCTTTGTCAATAACTTTTTTAGTGAAAAGACCATTTTAACCCTTATTGACAATTGTAATTTCTTGTTCAATTCTTACCATTCTTTGAAATAGTTGTAATTATTTAAACAAACGTTGTGAATGGGGTTTATTATATGAGAACTTGTTTTTTAATATTAGAAATTATATATTACAAATTGTGATTTTTTATTCAACTCTTGCGATTCACAAAACAAAAGTTGTTATTCCTAAAAAAAAAAGTTTAGATTGGGGCTTATTCTTCAATAATAGAAATTACAATTGATAAGTTTGTGATTTCTTGTTCAACTTTCGTGATTTACAGAGCAAAAATTGGTGGTTCTTTAAAATAAAAGTTGTGAATGAGATTTGTTATTTCTTGTAAGGTAGAATGGTTTTTTCACTAAAAAAGTTGTCGACAAAGAAGTCCCAAAGACTTCATAGGAATTATGACATTTCGGGGGATGAAATTGTCATTTATATAACTCAGAGGGATTTTTAGTGTCCTTTTCCTTTTCCCTTTTATTTATTGGTCATTGATATGATTATTGTTATTCTTTGATTTTATTTTATTTCTGGAAAAAGAAGAATTTAAATTTCTGTGTAAAATTCATGAGAAATTAACATGGGTTTTATTGTGGTTACAATTGCAGTCCTTAATTCCGTGTTTGTCACAACAGAAATTATAGGGGAGAGCCTGGGTAAGAACAGTCTTTATGTGGCGCAATTCCGTGGTCTTAGTTCATCGGACTCCCAACTATTAATTAGTTATGTGAAAACATTATAAAAAAAAAAAATTATGCAAGTAAAGGTGATAGTAAGATACAAATAGAAATATCAATGGCTGGCGGATTTTAGATGCTAATTACTAGGTGGCGAACGCACAGAGCATCGATTTTTTATCAAACAAGATACTATGTCGTGGTATAAATTAGAATACTTGTATAGGTCCCATTTCAAGGCATTAAATTTTTTCTCTTAATGGGCGAACAGTGATATTGAAATTGAAAAATGCCTATAGATGGAGAGTCATGAAAAATAATGTGATTAATCTGTCGTATGTACAAATAAATTATAAAATGGTGCATATAATTAATAGAGATAGAAACATGACGCCATGTTTGATGACATAGAGAAGTGACGTCAGGATAACAAATTAGAAGCAACTTGTCTGTATAAAGGACATAATGAAGTCGGATCAACACAAACACACAACAAAAGCCAATCAATCCAATATCCAGCACCGTAGAGAGAGAGAGAGAGATTCAAAATGGCGAACTTGTCCGCCTATCGTGTTTACGCCAGCACTGTTAGCTCCGTTGAAAATCTCCCATATGCGAGCCTCGACAAAGAAATGCATATCGTTCTGGCCTTCGCCAGAGATTACGATATGTATCGGCGTTACACGACAGGAAAATTTGAGGCATATTTTGATAAAAGTAAGTTCGATGCCCAGACTATCAGAGCCATCAAAAGGAAGGCAACTTCCACCTCCATCAAGTTCTTCTTGAGCATCGGAGGGCGTGACCCCGAATTCCCATTTGCTGTGACCTCTTCTGACGAATCCATGTGGATCAAAAATGCCACCGACACTCTCAAAAACATCGTCCAGACTTTTGGTTTTGATGGCATCGACGTTTACTACGAACACATCAAACCTGATGCGGCAAATCAGTTTCCCAAGGCAATAAAAAGGTCATATGGGATCTAAAGAACGTGGAAAAAGTCATCACCAAGGCTTCCATCACTGTGTCGGCTCCTCTCACTAATAACTATGACGACTGTACAAGGAAAACGAGGCACTTTTTGACTTTGTCGTCTACCAGAACCACTCTCAGCCTGGTCGTGTTTCCAATTTTAAAGAGCTCGAACCCATCTTCGACAGACTAGCTTATCCCAAAGAGAAGATCTTTGCTGGCCACAGTGATGTCCTGCCATCGGACTGGGCTAACGTCCCACAGCCCATCTTCCTTGGTGCTGTTCCTCAGCTCCTCAACAAAGGAATCTTTGGGATTTCCAAGTGGATTGTGACCCCTAATGATCATAACCCTGAGAGCAAGTGAGATCGGCCGAGAGATTATTGAATGATCTATCCTCCCTCGTTTTGTGGTTTGGTGTCCATGCAGCTTTACTGTTTTATTTAATTTGGTTTGCCCGAGTTCCTTTCAATTAATAAGCAGTATCCATCTAAGACAGTGAGAATCAAAGGCCACATTATCGAGGAGGGAGCAGACACGACGTCAACAGCTTCAGGCAAGTTAAGCCACATGACTAAGACAGTGAGAATCTGAGAGACAAAAACAGGCTTGGACACTTGACTGACGATGGCTTGAGGAGGAGAGACTGAGAGAAGAGAGAAATTTGAGATCGAGAGTCGAGATCGAAAGAGGGAGAGGGAGTCTGAGGCTCTAAGCTTGTCGACTGAGTCTACTGTTTGTGTGAGGCTGTGAGCATGAGAGATTAAGAGCAATTTCGACACTTGAGGGTTTTCGTCTGTGCGGTGCATTTTGAGATAGGTAAGGAAAAAAAAAAAGTAAAACAGGATTTACGGGCTACCCGAGCCCGAGCCCTTTTTTTTAGGGCTTAAAAGAGTCGAGCTTTAAAACCCAGTTACCCTAAAACATATCAAATTTTCAAGCCTGAATCCTTATTAAAACAGGCTTAAATGGGCAGACTGTCAAGCTCGACCCTTATTTCTGACTCTCCCCCCTTTAATAAAGGATTTGAAATTAATGTGGGACACTGGTGTGGAGGTTTATAATGAGCATAGAAAAAAAAGTTTTAATTTGAAAGCCATGTTATTTGGCACAATTAATGATTTCCCTACTTATGAGAATTTGTTAGGATATAGTATCAAAGGGCATGGTGCATGTCCTATATGTGAAGAGGACACTCATTCAATAGGGTTGGATCACTGTAAAAAAAAATATTTGCATAGGACACCATAGATTCTTGCCTTCGACACATCATTAGAGAAAGTGGAGAAAAGCTTTTAATGGTGAATCCAAAGAAGAGAAACCACCTAGGGTAAAGACAGGCGTGAATGTGTTTGAAAAGGTAAAAGATCTTGATAATCATTTTGTAAACCCTTTACAAGAAATGTTGCAACAAGTAGGTAGAAGAAAAACTCAATCTTTTTTATCTACTATATTAGAAGTTCTTATATATAAGACACTTTCTTGATGTGATGCATATTAAAAAAATGTTTATGACAGTGTGATTGGGACTTGCTCCAGTTGCCAGAAAAAGCAAGGATAGTGTCAAATCAAGGTTGGATTTAGTTTCTATAGGAATAAGGGAGGAGTTGGCTTCAATGGAGAAAAGCAAGGATAGTGTCAAATCAAGGTTGGATTTAGTTTCTATAGGAATAAGGGAGGAGTTGGCTTCAATGGAGAAAGGAAGTCGCACAAATCTACCACCAGTAACTTACACTTTATCAAACAAAGAGAAAAAATGTTTTCTTGAATTCCTCCATTATGTTAAAGTGCCAGAGGGATATTCTTCAAATATAAAGAATCTTGTATCAATGAAAGACTTGAAGTTACAGAGGCTTAAATCTCATGATTCTCATATGCTCATTATTCAAGTGGATCTCTCTAAGGTTGGGTATAGGGATGACCCTTTTATTTTAGCTTTGCAAGCTCAACAAGTGTTTTTCGTTCCTAATCCTGCAAAAAAGAATTGGTCTATTGTACTTTTGTCAAACAAAAAACATAATAATGATGATGAAGCTCATGGTAATGAAGATACGAATATTGAAGATGATCCTTTCTATGGGACAATTCAATCTTTTGATAATGATTTACTTGAAGATGAGCACTTGTACATGGAGATGATCATAAAGATGGGATATGGATTTACCTGTCAAGTCTAAATCAAACAAAGAAAAAATGAAAAATTAATTTATTTTTCATTTTGACTTCTTTCAAATTAATTTACCTTGTTTGTTCTACTTATGCATATGTTAATGTATCAATTTTAACTTCAAGGACAATGAGTTCTCACAGCGACGATGAACCTCACACCAGTTCAAATGATGATGATCCTCAAGCAACAAAGGAGAAAATTTTTTGAGATGTTCATCATGGTAGAACTGTGATGGCCAAGTTAATCAGAAATAGAAGCATGGGAATAAAGCTACAAGTTGGTTGAAATATCAGGGGTCAACCAATAAAACCAAATGGAGAAAAATTAGTCAGTTATATTGGAACTGTAGCTTGAAACCATAAGCCTATTACATTTACTGATTAGAGAAATGTTCCAAATGAATACAAGAGATTCATATGGGAACAAGTTAAGGTAAAAAAAAAAAGAAGTCATTAAAATTTTATCTTTTTTGATTCTTTTTTCTACACATTTAGTGATCTAAATTATTTTTAATCTTTCTTTTAGTCTTGTTTTAAGCTTGATGAGACTCATAGAATATATGTCCTCAGAAAAGTTAGGGTTCTTCTTAGAAAATTTTGTGCAAACATTTGCAAGTGGTATTTAATAAATAATAATCAAAATATCATTGAACATCCACCAAAACTTTATGATGGGATCATATCTCAAGAAGATTAGGATGAATTTGTTCTAGTGCACACAACAAAATAATTTAAAGTAATTAATGCTAGATTTGGCCAATTAAATATAGTTTTGCTTATATAAAATTAACATGAATTCAATTTTCATTTTAACAATTGAAAAGTGAGCAATATCGTCAATTAGCGGAAAGCCAAAAATATCACTTCAAAAGGAGACAGAAAGCATATGCATTCATTGAACAAGATAAAGTACATACCTTATATTTAATACTTATTACATGCATCTATTACATATGTTTGAATTATTTATGAATTTAGTTAATTATTTTAATATGTAGATAAAAAAAGACAATTTAAATTATGAACAACTTACAAGACATGAAGTGCGGGTTGAAGGATAACTAAGTTCAAAAGGTGAAATTGAAGATGAAAGTGTGAGGCAAGTTTGGCAAACTTGTGTAAGTATTAAAATTTAATTCTTGTTTAAATCTAATATTTTATGTGGGAAACTAAATCTAATATTTTATATAATAGCAAAATTTGTCACAAGAAAGCTCAGAAGAAGCACAATAATTTAGTCATGAAGATATCCTTAGCAGAGCATTAAATGTTCCAGAAGTCTTAGGTCATGTGACAGAACACATTTGTTACCCACTTTTATTTGTCAATTAGGACCATTTTATTAATGATTTATCACCTTCAAGTGCACACATTGCATTAGATTTGGAACTTTGCCTAAGTTTCTAAGATCAGTGCACTAGGGGCATTTTGGTCCAAAAAATGAACTTTTGAGAAAATGTACAAGAAAAATTGACAAAATGCATTTTATGTCCATTTGATGAATGGTGAAATTATATTTTTAAAATTCATTTTAGTTTGGGAGTAATTAAATAAAAAAGTCAACACTTTCTTAAGTGTCTTAGTTTGTCCTTGTTTTTGGTTTGCCTCTGTGTGAAAATTTTTATATAATTTTGTGTAGCCTGAAACTTGGTTAATTTAATAAATTCTCCCTTCTAATTATGAATTTAATTCTGGACATGAATTAGATTTTATTATATCATATGTTATTTAATTGAATTATGTGATTTATGTGACATAGGTGGCATGTGACTTGTGCATCAATTGGGCAATTGAGGTCAACACTCCTTGATGACAATGGCTGATGGTTTGCACGTGAATTATGATTATTTTGAGGGATTAGATCAGCTAAAATGATGTGGATGACACATGGAAAATTAGGCACACATTGGAATCATCTACAAACCAATAGGAAGTTGCCACCTTGCAAGTGTGACAAGGCTCCCATTTACATTTTAATTTCTTTTTCCTTATTTTAATTAAGCTTCAGCTGATGGGAGACACCAAGGAGCACGCCATTTTAAGTCCTAAATGGGATCCAACACATATCTCATTCATCTTCCACATTCTCTCTCTCTTGTTCATAGTGTTCTTCATTTTCTCTCTTTTGTTCTTCATTTTCCAGCACCCTAACCTCCATTTTTCAGCCACCAAACCTCCACAAAACTCATACCATTCTTCTCCTCTCTTCATTTTCGTTCCATCCCTTCCATTTTCATAAGGATTGAAGCTCATTTTCATCATTCAAGAGCTATGGAGTTTGGCCTTCACAAGCAATTACTAGGGTTCTTGAAGATGAAGATTGGCTAAGTTTCTTTATGGAATCCTAGAGAGATGAAGATGGAGGATGAGTCTTGAGCTTCAAATTGGCTAAGTTCTTTTGTTTCCTATCCTCTTCTCTTTTTACTAGATGGTTAGATTCCTTAATCTAGGGTTTAATCATCTTAGCTTATAAATTCTAATTTGAATTTGATGTTGATGTAAAGAGAGAGGATTGTTTCATTTAATTTCTTCCTTGGACAGCCATGACTGAATTTTGCCACTCTTTGTTTGGCACATAATCTTGTGTTTTTCAATTAGTGAATTTCTTGTGTTAATATTGCATAATCTTGTGGTCTTAATGCTTGTGTTGTTGAGTAGCTTGACATAATCTTGTGGTTGCTCAATTTATGTGTTTGACCATGGCTGTTGAGAGAGGATTTTGAATGAATCACTTGGCTAATGTCTTCACCAATTAGTTAATTGAACTAGGGACTTTAATCTAAGACCTAGGGAGGTTAGCTAATTAGGTTAATTGGTTTAGGATAATTTTCTTAAGTCATGACAGCTTTAGTCAAGAGGAAAGGGAAGCTAAACTTAGCCTAATCATGAGAAGATAATGAGTCCAAAATCAACTAATCTCTAGGGTTCCATTATTATGAAAAGGGAAGTTCATTTCACTCACTTTCACTAGCATTTTAATTACTTGTATATTAGGTAATTAGTTTAGATAATTAGCTAGATAACTAAATTCCTACAAACTTTGGTTGATTTATTTCACTAGATAACTTTCAATTAGACTTAAAATCATTCCTTGGGAGATGACCTAGGGTTGGCCCTATATTGCATTAGGGTTAGCTTTAGTGTAATTTTGAGGATAAGCGACTAATTTCCTATCATCATGTCAGAGGGGTTAGTTT